CAATTATTTAAATTAGACGCAAACATACGTGCATACGTATGTATTTGAGACTACCTCACGTTCCATAATTCGACGGGTGAGTGGAAGACCGACCTAACTCTGATGTTTTTGAAGCGGCAGCTTAGATAGGGCGTTTTTGAAACTAATTCTGAATTGGTGCGTTCTTCTATCGAATTCTGAGATGGGGCGTTTTCGCACCGGCTGCGAAGTTAAGTTGATCTTCCACTCAGCCGTCGATAAGTAAATGAAAACCGAATTTTCTTTCCCAAGCGGGTTTTGAAATTTAATGCATCAATTTAGAAGTTAGGTAAGCTAAACCTGTCTAGCCGCGCGGCAGACCTTTTGAGCATTAGCAACCAGATCAGCATCGAACTTTAAGTAGACTTACTATATGTATGGTGATCATAATTGGCACACATACTCCGGATTTTCAAACTGTGAACGCAACGAAACCGAAAATTTTTTTTTAATTAAATATACGATTACATACATACATATGTACATTTGTTAATTTTTGTAGTATATGCACTCCAATGATTTCAACTACGATTAATAAGTCTTACAATTTGTAGCCTACATATTTATAGNTTTATGTACGAGTGTCGCTATGCTAATCTCCTTACTTTATTTTGATGATTTTTTTGTTGTTTTATTTGTTCTTTTTTTTATTAACTAATTTTTACTACAAGTTTTCATCTTAAATTTCGCTACAGTTAGTTTTTGGGATATACATATATATGTATTTTGCATTTATAATGGTAGATAAGTGTGTGTGTGTGCAAATTTTCTCTACAGCTTAACTTATTATCAGTAGTTTCTTAAATATGTTTGTTTTGTATTTGTGTAGAATTTGTGTGGAAAAAGTAATTTCGTTAAAATTACAAAGCCCGGGGGTAACTTGCCGCTGAGTTTAGCAACTGCGAATGCAGGAAAATTCAAAAATAAATAGCGAATAAATGCTGAAAGCAAGAAACGCACTTAAATCCTTAAGTCCTGCCTACCTACCACGCCACAGCATTCCCCCCGCCCCCCCGCACGCCAGTGCCACTCTAAATCAAATGCAGGTCGCAACGCTATGCGGGCTCACTTCTTGCTAGGCTCTTTCCGGCTTTTTTTTTTACTTAGCTTTATTAAGATTGCGTGCTATGAAAACGCCGAATCAGCCGAAGCTGCTGTGTGCGGCGCAACGAAGCATAGGACGTTTGCACTGAGACATTTTCGGCGCTTGAGTGCGCGAGTGCTTAAACTTTAATGCTTCCACTTCCTTTTTCTACATCCAACTCACCGCCTTGCATCTTAGAGAGCGCAACGCATTCTCCACCAGCGTCAGCCGGCTTTCCACCTTCGTAAAGGACGCGCCACTTGTGCGGCTTTTATAGCTGCGCAACTGTTGCATCAATTACTTCATTTTGTGTGTGTGTGTGTGTGTGTGCGGTTTTTGAAATGAGGCGTATTTTTTTTTTGTTTTGGAGTAACAATGCATGTATGTATGTATGTACGTATGTTTAGATGCGAATGTGTCTGTGTGTGTGTGCATGCTTGGCCACAACAGCTTCATCTTCATCTCGTAATTTCACTGAATGCGCGTGTTGCATGCGAACTTCTTGAGGTTGCACCACTAATGCTAATGCTTCTTAGGTTGAAGCTGAGGCTTCGGCTGCGGCTGCGGCTTCCGCTTAGGCTGGAACTATGGCTTTGACTGCAATTATTGTTGCTACTTCCTATTCTATTGCACCTGCTTTCGGCAACCACTGTAGCTGTTGCTGCTGTCAATTGTTCTGCTGCATGGCGCAATGACGCTGTCGGCGGCGCTTTATAGCCACTGCTGGTATTGTTGCTTTTACTGCATTTGGTTGTGGCACTTCTTGTTGCCACGGTGAGTAGCGTTGCAGCTGCTGTTGTTGTTGCAAGGAAATGTTGCAAACAGCACGTGAAAATGGTGAAGAGCATACAACAAATGCTACAGTAGAAATTACCGCTATACATGCTGCTCGAATTGTGTTGCATTGCAGCAGGATGTTCACCTGCAAGTAAAAAGAATACAAAGAAAGAAAGTTAATGTAAGAGATGAGGCAATAAAATGTGCACCCCTGAATAAGTGAGTGAATGTGCAAACTCGTTTGCAAGAACTTTGTTTTTATCTACTCAAGAAATGCATGAATAAAAGGTTGAGTAAGTGAATTGCTCCAAGCAACGATATCCCTGCAATAAAATGAGCTATTTTTGATGTTAAACAATACCACTTGCTTTTTAGCTGAAATGGAATCCGTACAAACTCTTAACTACACACAGATACATAGGCATCAACGAGTTAATGAACCCGTCAGTTTCTGCAAAAACCACACTCTGATAAATGCAAAAATATGTATAGTGATAACTGGATAAACATTTCGATAACGCGGTAAACTTTGAAAATTCCGATGCGATAAGCCAACACATTTTGATAAACCAGCAGTAAATTTGGATAACTCGATAAATTGAAAGAACTCGATACAATACTATGAACCGATACGTTTCGAAGACACCGTAAATTCAGTAAATATTGACAACTTCATAAATTTCATAACTTCACAAATTTCAATAATCCGATACAATTTTATAACTAGATAGCTATTAGTAAATTTTAACAACTAAGTTTCTGTTCCAATAAATTTCGATAACTCAATAAACATTGATCACTTTACATAACTCGGTACATTCCTCTAGCTCAATAAATAAATATGGATAACCCGATGAATTTCGATTATTATAAACTTCGAAGACTCGATAAATTTCGATGACTTGATAACTTTCGATAACTAAATTTTTGATGATACATATCGATGGCCCTCTGCAATAAGAGCACAACTCGAAATTCTAAAAATATAAATCTCCTACAACTGTGAAGTGCCTCATGTCTCTAATCTGTGTCTAATAGGCGCCATACACAGTGCGTCTGACTCGGGAGTCGATTTGGATGTGTTTGTGAAAATAAATACATATGTGTTAGTTACACCAACATGACTCCTGGCATGACTCTGAATGATTCAACTCTGTGTAGTCGAAGGGCAGTCAACACGTGTACAAATGACTCGCGAGTCAGACGCACTGTGTATGTCGCCTATAATCCATGTCTAATCCTAACGACTTACTATAGTTATACTTACTACTCACTTTAGTAAGGATTAGATTTGGATTAGGCTAAGATTTGGGCCAAGAGTAAAACAAATTTGGGTAACAGTAAAAAATTATTTTATTTTTTGAATTTTGATTCGTGTCATTATTCCAGAGGACTATCGATATGTATTTCGATTCTAATTGAAAAATTTTAATAAATAAATTTTTCCCTGCCTTAGCTTACCTTAGCTGAGTAGTCCACTTGCAAAGAGCGCTCGATTTTTATTCTTCGGTGGGTAACGTACCAGAGCTTTTACTTACACAAAATACACACGGAGGTTTGCCATTGCCTGACCGCTATTAGAATTTTTTTTTATTTTTTTGTTTATGTTGGGTTGAACCGGTCATGATTGTATATTTTTGGTAATTTCGGTACCTAGTGGAAGAGGTCGTAAAAAAGAAGCAAAAAAGTCTTCATGGAGGAGAGAACGCGAAAAGCTAAAGCGGTGATATTATGTACATCTCTAGCTATGTAAAAGTTACTGTTTCAAAACTTGCTATACTTAATTTTTAAATATAAAATTTGGAAAACTTACAAACTGCGATTTTTTTTTTATGTTATTAGGCTCTTTTTTATCCAAATTTTCAGGTAATACAAAATATATTCAATTTAGATATTACTTGTTGCCGTAGTCGTTTTTTTTAATTTATGGCCTACTATTATAAAATCACATAACGCTGTTTGCAAGTGGACTACTCAGTTCTTATACATATGATATAATTTTCGTCCTTCTCTTTAATTTTCAATTTAATCCTCTTATTTTCAAAATTTTTTATCATTCTTCATCTGCACATTTATCGTTATTATAAAGTAAATTTATATAAATTTCAAATTTCAAAAACAAAATAAAACAAAATGCGAAAACAATTCAAATTGAACTGTTTACAACAACAACTATATACGGATGGTTTGAGTGCTGCTTTCTCGCCCATGCGGCATACCGCGATGCCCCTGATCGGAGGTTCACGAAGCCCCTTCGGATGGTATGAGATGTCCGTACTAGCGCTGATGACTACGCTAAGCACCAGTTCCCTAGATGCCCCTTGCGATTCCATAAGCGCCTTACTTCTATTCGACAGACTTCCCTAGCTCTTCTGTAGTGGGAGAGTTGGGTTAAAAGTAATCTTGGCTTTTCGTTCAAAAAGGGAGTCGATTGCGACCCTAAGAGGTATAATAAGATGGAAATATTCTTCTTCTTGGGCACGCCAATTGGTTTTCTGCTGCTATATCAATTAGAAATGGCACACCAGCCAGCCGGGCAGAGGCAAGTTCCCAATTAAGAGCCCTGACATTCTAGTTGCATACCCTAAAGTTGGGGCCTTCTGAACGTTCGCCGTAGTTGCCATCAAGTTTCGTTCTATACTGGACAAATTTTTAAATACCAGCCGTTTGCTCAAAAACACACTACCGTTTGCAGCTGCACTACAAGGTGAACATACTCTGCAGACTTCTCGCTCTCTTTCTGTTGCTTGCCGCCTCTCGCACACGAGTTTCTTACGTTGCCTAGTATGAGCAAACGCGGACGAAAGAGTAAGCATTGAATATAGTCGAGCAACTGTAACTTTCCATTATTTCTTACCAAATATCAATCGTATCGTTCCTTTGCCGATTTCCTTTTAAATTACAAGTTTTAAGCTAATACACTTTTGAAAAAAATTTTCGATATGTTTTTACAAACACTCATACACACATATGTACATTGGTGCATATCCATTGCCCGATAAGAGAACATTATTTGTTCAAGTTGTTTCCTAAAGTATCAGCACTTGTAAAAAAATATACAAGCACACTAGGGTGATCCTTAAACAATCAACATGCCCTTTTTCTACGTACAAAATGAAGCATCCATGAAGATTTAAAATAAAAAAAAAATAAAATCAGGGGTCACTCGCTGCAAGGGTTTGAAAAAAAATATTTTTTTTTAAGCAAAAATTTTACAAAATTTTTGATGTTGACCAGCAAGTTTACGATTTTAATATGTGTTCAAATAACTTATCCAATTTATCAGATTTCAAATCAAAATTTGCGATTAAATTTTTTTTTTTTTGAACCGACTTGTTAATTTTTTTTTTGAAATTTGGAATTTTTCGTGGATGTTGTCATTATATGCATATAACAAAATAAAGGCATGCGCCATAAAAAATTTACACGTTGATACTTTTAGGACCACCCCAATACATACATAGTTATTCAGCAGCAACTGCCACGCAAAAAGTTCACAAAGTTACGCACTGCTAAGAAGTTGCACAATGCATACATAGCTTTTCTAAGTAGATATGTATGTATGTAGGTATATACGTATCCACCACTGCTGGCGCCACTCACCTGCTACAGCCGTCGCCATGTCAGGCACACCAGCCAACCAACCAACCAACCAACTGGAAGTGGCCGATAAAGTGAATGACTTTTCGCATTTTTCAACTTCCACCATTATGCCACAGCAAAATGTATCAGTTTACAAAATTTGTAGCATTAAAATTTGTTGCAGTTGCAATCACTGCATACCCAGTTACTTTTATGTATAGTATTTTTTTTTGTTTTTTTTTTTTTGGAAAATTCTCTATTTGGTGCAGTGTTTTTCTACCTAAAATGCAATCTCAGTGTTTTTCTGTGTCGCTGGCTTCCTGAATTTTATTGTTCGCATTTCGATAACAACTATGTTGCAGCAACTGTTAATTGGGTCACACTTTGGTAGAGTTTCATATAAATTGGTATATACATATGTGCGTATACAAAATATCCCAGCGATGAAATTTATGCGTGTGTGTTGGTGTGTACTTAATGTCCTGGCAATGTAAAGAAATTTGATTTACTTGTGGACAGGCCTCAGGCTAGGTCAAACATAAAAATAAATAGCCGCTATAATTGGTGTAATAAAAATTACCTCTAAACGATGCGTAACTATCACTTCTGAAAATTAGTATCCCTAGTGCATACGGATATCTATGTTTGACTTTCAAAGCATTTTTTGTAAGTAGACTACACCTCACTAGTTTAAAAATTTTATGTTTGGAATATCCATATACAATGCTCGAACTGAAACTAGTACTTGAATATTGAAAAGAAGAATGCGAAACAGTTTCCCTTTTAAAGCGGCGGATTTTTATCAGGAAGAAATTCGGCTGTTCTTCCGCAATGGGATTGTTCTCCGATACTTTGGAAAATATGATATTTTTCCTATTTATGTAGACCTATAGAGGCCACTCTCTGCTAAATAAATTATATACAAAATTTTCTGGTACGATGCTAAATTGTTTGTTTATTTATTTTAGGTTGCGAGTAGATGCACATTTATATAGTGAGCAACTTTCTCCAAGAAAGACACCTGCTTGGATCATCAACAAAAGGTGAACAATCGCTACCTTTAGGAGACCTTCAACCGAATAAGTCGTAGTGTAACGAAACACCCGTAGAATGAACATACTCCAAGCGTAACACTTGGACACCACTGCAGAGCAAAAAGCAGCGTTATAGCTCAGTTATACATACTTTGCACTGCACTGCATAGCATGTCTTTTTGCGTAGCAATCAAAAACCAACAGATTTCTACATATGCAATGCTGTGCATTGGTTAACTGCTTACACGAAAAGCTCATTTAACCGATTCCTTACGTGACAACTCTCATGCAATGCCAAGTATGCATAACTGAGCCATAACTCTGCAAACAATGACGCCGCGTGTGACAATTGAGAAAAAAAAGTAAGTGCGCCTAGGCCACGCTGAAGAAGTGAAACTTACGATATCGATAATCGACAACGAAATCGATAAATAATCGATAAATAATTGATAACTAAATCGATAACAAAATCGATAAAAATATCTATAACAAAGTTGATAAATAATCGATAACAAAAATCGATAAAAAT